TGCTCAGGTAAGAGGTGCCCCTTCCTGAAGAACTGTCCAAAATTTATATCATGCGTGCCCAGCTTTACAATAAGTTTGGATCTCTGGCAGAACAGACAAGTATTTTTCTGTTTTTGCAAAAAATGTATTTGGCCTTAAAAGAAAAAAGGGAAAAAAAAGAAAGAAAACCAGAACCTAGCACAGCCACCACATCTATGGGCTGGTAAGCTGGAAACCATTCCATTTTTGTTTTTGAGTTAAGACAGACTTTAAGACAATTGGCGTAGTTATCCATGACATGCCACGCATGATAAGGCTATGAGAGGCCACAAAGCAGTGTTAAAGGTCATTTCACAAAGATGATAATGTGGGATGTCCAGATCATTAAAATTTAATCAGTCTAGTTGCACAGATGGGTATTTTTTTCAACCTGCAAAATCCTTGACTTTTTTGAAAGTTAATTATTCCTGTTCTTCATTCAATCCCTCCCTCCCCCTAGGCGAAGTCTAGCATACACCCCCAGCAAGGATTAAACACTACATGGGATATTCAAGCTGAGGTCTCTACGCTTAAACTACACTATAGCAAAGGATGCTTCGTGGTACATCTCTCCTGGGATACAGAAAGAGCAGATGTGATGAAATCTGTAACAACAACAAAACTGCATTATAGGTGTTAGTAACAAGTAAAAAAATCACCCTTACTGACAATAAAGAAAGAAAATACCCAACCTTCAATATGCAAAAAGGCTGCTAATACTCTTCACAACTAAGATTTATAAATGCAAATATCTGCTAAAAGAACGGAATATTAGACATTGATTTAAATACCTTGCAATTTATTCATCAACAGAAGATGTCACACTAGGCTAAAGAAAGATCAGATATTAAGATCAGATGTTATGCATATGGGATTACAGAATAACAAGTCAAATACTGTATGTATTCATCATTACTCTGTTCCTCTGTTACTATAAAGCTAACCTGTGCCAAAAAAAAAAAAATACTCCATGCACTGCAGTCAGGTGTCTGCACATCGGAGGTCTATCTGTAACTCCAAATATCTAAATAATGTGTTTTGGTCATCTGCAACCAACACCCATAGGGCTGCTGGTTGTAGCCTTTCCCTTTATCACACCTTTGTTTTGCTGCCTTCAGTATCTGGTCATTGGGCAATGGACCATTATTATCACACTGTAATTAACAGTGACAAAGCAAAACGTAAAGACCAACTATAAAATAGGATGCCAATTGCCTGGCACTGCAGTGTGACAGAGGTGTGTCAATAACACAACTGGCTGGGAGGAATAAGAGATCCATTGACAGTTTACACTCCTGTATATTCCCATTGTGCATTACGTTGTCTTGAGCTCAATTTTAATGCATTTTGGTCTTTGCCTCAGTGGACTCCATGCCTGCACTCCTCCTTTCTTACCAAGAAATGTTGATTCTAAACCCATGATGTGGTGGGCTAAGGATAACCTAAATGCTATGGAGCACCAGCTATAATGTCCATCACATTTACACATTATGGCAGATACAGTGCCTTGAAAAAGTATTCATACCCCTTGAAATTTTCCACATTTTGTCATGTTACAACCAAAACGTATATGCATTTTATTGGGATTTTATGTGATAGAGCAACACAAAGTGGCACATAATTGTAAAGTGGAAGGAAATGATATATGGTTTTCAACATTTTTTACAAATAAAACCACCTTTCACTGCATTTACAGCCGCAAGGCTTTTTTGGGTATATCTCTACTAGCTTTGCACATCTAGAGAGTGACATTTTTGCCCATTTTTCTTTGCAAAATAGCTCAAGCTCTGTCAGATTGGATGGAGAGCTTCTGTGAACAGCAATTCACAGAAATGTGGAAAATTTCAAGGGGTATGAATACTTTTTCAAGGAACTGTATACTACTTCATTTGACCTCCTCCAACGCTGACCATCTTGTGTCCTTCCTTTCCACTCCATCCCTACCACTTCTCTTTCGTCATTGGGCTGCCACTGATGATATATACCTTCTGCACATGGGTGCAATGGGTTTATTTTATCCTGGCACTCCCTTGCACTAAGAGTAAACAATGTTCATGAATCACAGGCAGTGTACACACTAAAAAAAAAAGATTGCTGGGAGAAAGGGAATGGTGTTTTGGGGCATAAAACCGTCAAAAAGGTTTTTTCCTACCAAAAATCTATATCACCTAGTAATGTTTTTATTTTTAGGGAACCGTTCACCCAAGCTGGTGGTGCATGCCCACTGGTGTGCGCTATGTTGTTACAATGTATCACACTGTTTACCTTTTGTTTTCTTCTTACTTAACTTTATTGGAACGTGCCCCATCTGGTGTGCGCTATGTTGTTACTGAACTGCTGTATCACACTGTTTACTTTTGTTTTCTTACTTTACAAACTTTATTGGAACGTCACAAATGCCTATTCACTTATCATCCTTGACCTCTGTGCACTGCTGTACATCCTGCTGACCTCTGCACTGTGTACATCCTGCTGACCTCTGTGCACTGCTGTACATCCTGCTGACCTCTGTGCACTGGTGTACATCCTGCTGACTGCTGTACATCCTGCTGCTGTACACTGCTGTACATCCTGCTGACCTCTGTGCACTGCTGTACATCCTGCTGACCTCTATACATCCTGCTGACCGTGTACATCCTGTGACGCTGTACATCCTGCTGATCTCTATACACTGCTGTACATCCTGTTGACCTCTGTGCACTGGTGTACATCCTGCTGACTGCTGCTGCTGACATACCTGCTGATGACCTCTGTGCACTGCTGTACACTGCTGTGCACTGCTGTACATCCTGCTGACCTCTGTGCACCTCTGTGTGTACATCCTGCTCTCTGTGCACTGATCCTGCTGACCGCTGTACATCCTGCTGATCTCTATACACTGCTGTACATCCTGTTGACCTCTGTGCACTGGTGTACATCCTGCTGACTGCTGTACATCCTGCTGATCTTTTATACACTGCTGTATATCCTGCTGACCCTGTGTGCACTGGTGTACATCCTGCTGACTGCTGTACATCCTGCTGATCTCTATACACTGCTGTACATCCTGCTGACCTCTGTGCACTGGTGTACACGCTGTACATCCTGCTGATCTCTATACACTGCTGTACATCCCTGCTGATCCCTATACACTGCGGTACAGCCTGCAGACCACTGTACACTAACCTACACCCTACTGACCTCTGTAAGCTGCTCTACATACTACTTACACTGACCAGAACTCAGAGCAGAAAGTAAAGCCAGCAAGGCCTAAAACTAGTTGAGCAAGTCATCCTGCAGTTCCACTGGTTCTGCCTTCATGATGGACTCCTGTATCAGACTTGTGGGGTTCGCCGATGCTAAATTTTAAGGTAGGCTAAGTTTATAATTTTACAGTGACATTAGTTTTATTATATTTTTCCAAGTTTTCTCTGTGCCCTCCTTGTCCTTACTTTTTATTGGCGGCTTGCTGCTAGTTAACTCCTAAAAAAAAAATAAATGATCACGCACCCCGGTGATCTTTGACGTCTACCATGTTGTCCAGGTCTCTACCTCTAAAAGGTTACCTACCCCTGCTCTAAAGTCTACATCCAACTTAAAGTAGAAATGAAATATCAATTTTCTATTACTAAGTCACTAATTCTACATTGCTCCTCTTTTTTTAAACCATAAACGATAACTGATAGATAACGAACTCCATTATGGGTGGAGACTCAATCCTCTGGCAGGCTGCTTAGTTTGCTTTATATTAGAGAATGAAACTCTAAAGCTAGCTAGTTAATTTTCAAACAAATTGTTCAAAAGAATATTTGTGCAAAAATTGTTTGTATATTCAATGACTATGTATTTCCTGAACTTAAACCACTTTCACTGTTAAAAATGTGTTTGTCCGAGAAAAACTTTCCATCCTGCTCCTTCGAATTTTCTCATCACTGTGGTAGAAAATGAAGGCCGATTTGACCCCACGAACGATCAGAAAATCAAAAGTACATCCTTAAAACAAAAAAATTCACACAAAAATCTAGTAGTGTGTAGCCAGCTTGAGGAAAAGGAGAGAACATAGGGACTAATGAGGAGAAATCTCACCACTGGCTTCTCTAGAAGTTAATAGGTTATTTGACTTGTCAATTGAACCAAAAACAGAAAGAACACATTTGTGTGGATTGATGGTTTAAAGTATTTGGTCATTATTTGATAAGCGATGGATAGGAAAAGGTATGTGATGTGGCAGAATTTTTCGTTACATCTGATCATACTGCCACATTTGTGGTTATCTCATAACACTGGATTTGATGTCCCTGTAACTGAACATTGGAAACTGAGTAAAGAGTATATTCCTTGCATCTCACATTATGCAGCAGTAGTATGATTAAAAAATTGAATTCCTATCATAACAGTAGTAAATTCTAAATAAATAGTATAATTTGCTGAAGCCATGTGTATCATACACTGGCACTTTTTAAATAAAATACTTGATTTCACCTTTTTTTCAATTATTTGTTACACCTTGGTGCTACTGATCGCTTCCTAGCCACTTACTGTCTATATATTCTCCACCTACATCTGCATAGCATATCTCAGGGTGGGTTTCCTGATTCAGACCATGTCTTCATAGCGTGTGTTTAACCACTAGCCTACCAGGCACTTATACCCCCTTCCTGCCCAGGTCAATTTCCAGCTTTCAGTGCTGTCACACTTTGAATGAAAATTGCTCGGTCATGCAACACTGTACCCATATGAAATTTTTATCATTTTTTTGTGACAGATAGAGCTTTATTTTGGTGTTATTTAATCACCTCTGGGTTTTCTATTTTTTCTTAAACCAAAAACCACTGAAAATTTTGAAGAAAAAAAAAAGTTTTTTCTTAGTTTTTGTTATATAATTTTGTAAATAAGTGATTTTTCTCCTTCGCTGATGTGCGCTAATGAGGCTGCACTGATGGACACTGATAGGTGGCACTGATGAACATTGACAGGCATCACTGATGGGCACTGAAAGGCAGCACTCATATATGGCACTGATATGTGGCACTGACTAGCACTGATAGGCAGCACTAACTGACACTGTTAGGTGGCACTGACTGGCAGTTAGGCAGCACTGATAGGCATCACTGACAGGCACTGACTGGCATTGATAGGTGGCACTGACTGGCACTGATGGGTGACACTGAAAGGCAGCTCAGATGGGCACTGATATGTGGCATTGATGAGCACTGGTAGGCACTGATATGTGGCATTGATGTGGTACTGATGGGCACTGGCAGGTGGCATGGATGAGCACTGACAGGTGGCATTGATGGACACTGACAGGTGGCACTGCTGGGGCTATACAGATCATCAGGGCACACTGATCATCAGTGCCCTGATGATCAGTGCACATGTCCCTCTGAGGGATGCCGATTACCGGCTCTGCTCTCCTCTCGAGCTGTCAGCGTGACAGCTCGTGAGGAGAGAAATGCCGATAACCGCATTTCCCTATTTACATGTGATCAGCTGTGATTGGACACAGCTGATCACATGACCGAGCCGACATCTTTGGCTCTTTCCATTGATCTGCTGTGTCCAAGGGACACAGCGCACTACCGATCGCCACACTGTGCGCTCCCGGAGCCGTGCATGTGTGGACGACGTCATATGACATCCTCCCAGAACGAGAGAACCGCCTTGCGCCCGTCATTTATTATTATTATTATACAGGCTTTATATAGCGCCAACAGTTTGCGCAGCACTGTACAATATAAGGGAGACTGTACAATTACAATACATTTCAATACAGAAGGAATATGAGGGCCCTGCTCGTGGAGCTTACAATCTAAAGTCATTTCACTATATGGTGGGAGTGAGGCGGTTAAATGGCCACTTGGAGTCTTTATTTGAAACCCAGATGACAAAGTGAAAACGCAACAGTACAATTAGGATATAGAGAGAGGGAACATTGTTACATTATACCGGAAGTGCCCTAACAAGGAATTATTATTGTAATAAAAGCAACAGATTTGAAATTACTTTCAAAATTACACTAATGCATTTAAGCTTATATGAGATTTTAGAGTCCTGGTACCCAACCTGTGGCCGAAGGCTGCATGTGGCCCTTCCATATATCATGTGTGGCCCTTGGAATCTGCAATACGAACAATAATTATGGGCAATAGCATTGATCTCTAATAGAATCATGTAACATTTCCCAATTTCGTACTGTCTTCTGCAACATATCCCCAGCCAAATTGTAGCATGTCCACACTCTCTGACCCTCATTTCCTCTACTAGGTCTGCAGTCTGTTAGTCCTCGCGAGCATTACATAAATTGAACATTAGGTGGGGCCCTTTGGTGATGTCAGGGGCTGCAGTTGAGGCCCCCTATAGTGCACAAGTTGACAACCACTGGTTTGGAGACTGACCTTTTACATATTTTAAAAAGCAGTCGCTGAGATCCAATCATGTGACTGTGCCAAGACTTGAGAGGTGAAGTCTGGGAAAATCATCCTTTTTCTGCAGGCCTGAGAAAGAATTTTGTCAGTCTTCACTCCCCAGTGATCATTCACTTGAAACTCTGTGACAAATCACAGAATGAGAGAAGGAGCAGGGAGCTGATCCGGGTGAAATGATCACAAACAACCCATAATATACAGGGTGCTACACAGACTAAGACTGTATCGTCTCTGAACCAGCACCTTACAACTGAAAGTAAAGGTGACTCTAGACAATTCCTGGGAAAACATGGTGCTGGCCTTCTGGAGAAGAAGTAAAAGTATAACTAAAGGTAAAACTTTTTTTTTTCTTTTAGACTGAAAAGGGATAACATCTGTCAGGTTTTTACTGTTGTCTGTGACCCCATTAGAGAGATTCTCCTTCTCTATTTTCATCAATATTACTGTTATGATATAGAAAGTGAAAGTAAAAGAAAATCCCAAATTTTGGATTGTCCCCAGAACAGTAATAGAGGGGCAATCGTCCATTTGGGACATTAGTTCTGGTGACCCTGGAGACAACCAGGGATTCCCTCACATTGTAGGGGTTTCTTCTCACATTTGACTTTGGCTATGGAACAGGAAGTGAAAAGAAATCTTCCCAAGAGGACACAAAAAAAAAAACCTAACAAGGGTTATAACCCTCTCTTATTCTACCCAAATAGAAAACAAATATTTTGCCTTTAGTTCTACTTTAGAACATTATTGGAAGGAATATTGTGATATCTTAAAAAAAAGTCTGTGTTACACTTACACAATACTTAGAATGTAATAACTTTGTCACTTACCATGCACTTATCAAGAAAAATATCTATCAGATGCGAGCTCTGTGTTAAAGAACCCATCAATTGCATCAACCAAACTGTGTGTGTGTGTATTCGTCACATGAGCTACCATAATAAAAGCATGCAATAAAATAGAATATAAATGATGTGTGGCTGTATTAAACCATCATCACGCTACTTATCCACACAAGCATACAAACTCTATATGATACATACAATACACAAACAGCATGGGTGACATCTGTTTGTAATGCATCCATAAGAGTATGCAAAATGGTACTGCAGTCAACAGAATAGAGAAATAAAATGAATGCACAAAAATACATTAAAACTGACAATACTGAAAGAAATGCCTGCCCCTGGGAGCTTTACAATATAAATATTTATACATTATCCTAAAATCCTTGAATCACAGCGGCAGCATGAAAAGCAGCATGCTCTATATTTTCCATATGTCACAGAACACTGCCTTTCTTACTGAGCATTGACTATGCAGCATGAGTAGAAGGGGGAAAAGTTAATTTCAGATTCACTCATCAATTGATAACAGAAAAAATATTTCATGTAATGAAAATTAAAAAAAAACAAAGACGGGTTCAGAAACTGTAAAGTGCAATGTAAGTATATATATATATAATCAAGACATAGGTGTCCGTTTATGACACAGAGAATAGCTGCGATTCAGAGGATTGCAGCTCTTCTCTGGTCATTCACAGTTTATATGACACTCAGGAGATCAGTGGAGAACTGTTCAGCTCTTCACTGGAGATCTGTGTTCTGCCTCCAGATTCTCCAGCCCAGAGCTGTAGGATCGGAGGGACCGCAAACTAAGCAGCGATAATTTACCTCTGTTTAGTAAACTGATCTTTTACTGTAATCTTGCGAGATTATAGTAAAATCAACCGTTTTCCACCATTTGTAGACCGTTCTCCAGCGTTTGGAGACCGTTCTCCCTTCGTTCGGAGAACTGCTTCATAAAAGGCATTCACAGGAGAACTGTGGTCTCCGAGAATGCCGGAGACCTGAGCAGCGATCATTTATCGCTGGTTCATAAACGGACACCAATAACCCCAAACACCTGAGCATTATGTGTAACAAATGTGTACCAATACACTCATAAAAAAGAAGTCTGCTGGTGCATTAAAGTTGGACATACACTAGGAAAATTTTGGTAAAAAATTTTTGTTTTCTGAACATTCATTCAATTTTCTGATGGTTAATGGGTTCAAATCTGGTTTGCTTCTGACCATAGTGACGAAAACATTTGAAGGAACAGGATGTTTTCTGGAATGGATGAAGTTCAGGCAGTCTATCATATTGCCCTTTCAACCCACTTATACTTTTCATTTCTGCAATGAGAAGGATGCAATAATCAAATTGTAGAACATCTCTGCATTGCATGCACCTTTCTTATTATTTTATAACTTTAAAGACACTGTAAGCAAAGAAAAATACTTGTTTATCTGCCAGAAAATGCACTCTGCTTCTAATTCCTTTTGTGGGCTGAAAACACACAGCTTTTTTTGTGGGCTAAGTGCTGTCAGTCCTGTCCAATTGTCTTCTGCTAAAATACTCAAGAACAGTGGGTGAAACAAGTGAATGAAATTACAGAAGCTGAGAAATGGGCGCATATCAACAGTAACACCCCGGTCACATCAAGCCTTACAGTGAAGTCACATGATTTCAAAGTCGGTGGACATGCAGATTTCAGGTGCGATTTGCAAGACATCTGACACAGATGTCTATGCAAATCGCACAAAAAGTAGTGTATGTACTACTTTAGAAATCATTGTGGCTCCAACCAAGTTAGAACCGCACCAATTTGACCGCTGTAATTGCAGACAATAGGGTGCGACTTGGCGTGCGATTTGCAAGTCGCATGGCATGCAAATCGCATTCCAAGTCATATCCAGTGCAACCGAGTGTTATAGATTGGAAAAGTCTCAGGTTAAGTGAGAACCCTAGATTTACTACATGAACATAATCGGGAATTGGAGTTAAACAGCCACGCATCTTGTATTTTGGTTTACCTTGCTTGGAAATTTTTATCTTATTATGTTGGTCATCTAGAGACCATCCCACCTCCCCTCTTTACTGTGGGTTTTTTCCCCTTGTTTTGGGGTGTATTTTTTATTTAATAATTATATGTCTTATGATTTAAGCTACATTTTGTATTTCAGGAAGGATTTGTATTTCTGTATAGTTTTTCTTGTGTGTATATTGAATAAGGAGAAATAAAGATAATTAAAAAAAAAAAAAAACCCTCTTACTCTCCTAACTAAAAAAATAGACTCTAAGAATTCTACAGTCCAAGATAAGAATTAGAAAGCTCAATTAGACTCTTTTGGGTTATTTACTAAAACTGGAGAGTGCAAAATCTGGTGCAGCTCTGCATAGAAACCAATCAGCTTCCAGGTTTTATTGGAAAAGCTTAATTGAACAAGGTAAAGTTAGAATCTGGTGCAGCTGTACATGGCAGCCATCAGCTTCTGAGTGCACCAGTTTTCAGAAATCTCCCCATTGAGTCTAAGAGTGCACAGGACAGCTCTGAATTTCTGGCATGAGTAGAAGGTTTGGGACACTTCAGATTTTAGTGAAAGTAGGGGAATGTCATGACTGTTAGTTGTTTTCAATGCCAATAGCCATATTTTAAAAATTACTGAGCTGGGTTTCTGTTATAGTAAACTAAAGAAATGAAGAGTGGGCTCAATGGGCCCTTCGGGCTTCATTATTGCTGAGACTACTGTGACCTGCTTCTATGCTTCTCAGTTTTCCTTGTGTTTGCAAGAATTTCTCATCACACGTTAAAGCAGTAGTTAACACCGCTGGGACACTTGAACCTACAGATAAACTTATAATAAAGCTTTCCTTTACGTACATGGAATATCTCCAAAACATGCACCGTATAGGATATTCACAGTTTGTGCAGTTGGTGACTTCAGAGATCTGTGCCGCGACTGACTCCAATGCACATGCACAGGAGTGACATCATCGCAGCTCAGCCATCCAAACACCTGGAGCCCCCAAACTGGGAAGGAAGACCGGGTGAAGGCGGAAGCCCCGGAAGTGGTGGCAGCAGTGACAGCGCGCCGCTGAAGGGCTTCGTTCTAAGGTAAGTATTTTTATAACGTGCTAGTATGTGGTGCATACCAGCACATTAGGGCATTGTTTTGCAGGGGAATGTTTTACTTTTTGGACACACTTTACTACCGTTTTAAAAACATGCTAGAAGGTTTATTTCACATGGTCTCATCTTGTCCTAAACTAACCTTTGAGCAACTATTGTAAGGACAAGACTGTGACATATGGATTCATAACAAAGTGCCACATCTCTAGAAGCCTCCCAGGTGACATCCTGTTTATGTACAGTGATAGAGGTTGAGGGCACTTTCTATTGATGGATATTGAGCCATTTTCTTTAAGTGGATATAGCATCCCACAGTGGTTTTTGATGGATTATTTTGAGCGTGCACTACAGAAAGGAGTTTTCTCCTTGGTTTATGTATGTCATTTAATCAAAGGAGTTATCAAGGAGGTTGTCCCTAACTTTCAGGCTCGCACACATGGACCCTCATCTTGGTCCCTTTCTTGGACTGCTCGGGCTGGGAGGTAGCTATCTCCTTGGAGGAATGCCAGAGCAGCTATTTCCCCCTCCTGTCTGCTCCTGAAGAAGTGATAATCCAAGAAATGCATAGAGATATACAAAGTCTATCCTAAACCATCAGTTGTAGTGTTTCTCCCCACTAAGTAACTATGATGCTTACTATTTGATGGTGATAGAACATGACAATTTTAACTGATGGATTCACATAATAATTTTATAATACAATTTTGCCTGAGTTGCGACGCCCATTTTTTTTTTTGTGGTTTTATTGTAAGGACAACATAATGTGAGCTATGTTGGGACAAGTATTGATGAGAATGGTCCCTGGTATTCTATAAAGCACTGAGGGGTATGTTTAAAATATAACAAGCAATTCAAAGAAATGTGTATTTCTGACAAGACATTTATGCTAATTAAATACTTTGATTATTTTTAAATCTTTTCAAATACTATTGATAGTTACAGCAGATGGGAAATCAGAGCAGCTTGCTTTAATTGATCTTTATGTCTCATTTTCTATACAAATTAGGAAGCATAGTTAATAAAATTCTGGACTGTCCTCCAGGAGGGAGGGGGGGGGTGCAGTGTAGCTTGGCTGGCAAAGTGCAAAGAGGGGTTTAGGTAAACTATAATAAAAGGTACAGCTAACAGACAATGGTACAGATGCAATTTGGATTTTACTTTACAATATACTCAGGTATGGAAGAAAATGTATATGAAAAATACAATGTACATAAATGCGCATTATAATAAAATTTACTTGCTACATTAAAAATGAACATTACCTCTCCCTATGTCCATTTGTTTTTAAGATTCCTTACCTTTTACAGTGAATTCACATACTCACCTGCCCAGCAAATCCAGCATTGATCTGCTGTGGGCTGCCACTTGGCTGCCACACACAAGGTCCCGTGACCCCTTCTTCTCTGATGTCATTGGGAGCTAGCTGTCTCTTTTGGGTCAAGGCAGGTGAGCTGGCCCCCTGGTGTATGTTAGGTCCACCCTCCTACAGCACCATGTCCATCCTCCTCCAGTGCCATGTAGAAGTTGGAGTCTTCTGGGATATGTGACAAGCATTTCCCAGGAGGTTTCAGGAACAGGGACAAATCAGTCTTACCTAAGCAAGAATGGAGGTATGCTAGATCAAAATAAATAAATAACCCCCCCCCCCCCTCAAAAATAAGGGAAGGTGTCTTTTTAGACTGAACATCAGTTTTAAGAAGGTTCTATCCATGGCAACCAATTAGGGGTTTCCTCTTATTCTCTTGATTCTTCTCAAAAAAGAAAAGTCAGACTCTGACAAAGCAACCCCTCCATCCTTCTCTGCGCTCATGTGTGTAAATGAACTATACCATCGGATATTAGGACTTAGTAATTTCCTTCCCCTCAGTTAAATTATATGACTTTTATTATTTACTTTAGACTTTAAACAGAGAAGGCCTGATTTAGGAAGTGATAACATTAGCTCCCTCAATGGGCCACAAGGGAGGTATCTTACACTCAGTGTCGAATAAATAAATAAAAATTAAACTATGCTCACAGTCACAGTTCCCCTTGGGGGTTCTGCTTCTTGTCTAGCCAAATCCTCATTGATTTGTTCAGTGTGTGTTACAAAGTACTTCATTTTGGCATGTCTATCATTAACCCCAGAAATGCTGAGCATGCAGCTTGCAGCAGCGGCAATAAGGGATGTACAATCCATAGCCAGCGGAAAATAGGAGCATTATTCTGTAAAAGGAAAATACACTTTTCAACCTTTGCAAGGTCAGGAAACATAGAGTAACGGACATAGCACAAAAAGGTTTTAAAATTGAAAATAGTTTAAAGTATTGTCCCAGAATGCTTTCATTACATAATAGGTAATATCTGCAAAATGATACCGGCACTATTTTTAGCTCACAATGTAGGCTGCAAATAACGTGTCCCTGGTGAGCTGGAAATTAGTGTATATTATCTTCTCTTAGGGGCTTAAAATGTATATGGAAACCAAAGTCGAAATAGAGATCCTGTCCATTAAAAGCAATCAGGATTGAGCTTTTGATGTGAATCATTTATTGATAAACATAACATATGAAACTTGACTGGCTCCTATAACTGGCCATTTAAAGAATCACAGTTTAAAAGATTTTCAGAAAATGAGATAAATTATATGTTCTGGGGAACTCCAGACACACAGCTCAATAGTCAACTAGAACACTCACCAGAAACTGTACCTTGCACCAAACATCTACAGGAGTGATTACAAAAGTAATCTGCACACTTTTGAGATACATCTCTCTAAACAGTGTTCCCCATTCCTCAACTTAGTCAAAACATGTACCACTTAGGAAAGGCCATTGCTCACATAAAGCAAAACAGCGTGGATAGGGGGATACCTAACAGTGATAGCACAGATTTGGATGCAGTCACTGCTCGACCAACAAGTTTCCACCTGGCTCCTTCAACAAAAGTTGACTTATGCTGAGTTAGGTGGTGCCAAAAGGGCCACCCCTCCAGCCTGAATTTCTGCTAATTCAGCAGTGTATTTCCACACTGCCCAGTGTATTTCCACTTTTGCAGTCAAATTTGAGAAAACCTCACTACACATTTGTTATATGTTTCAATCTTTACAATCACTTTAACCGCCTCCCGCCCGCCATATAGTACAAAGACGGGCGCAAGGTGGTTCTCTCGTTCTGGGAGGACGTCATATGACGTCCTCCCATTCTAACCACATATGCGCGGCTCCGGGAGCAGCAATCGGTGGTGCGCTGTGTCCGTCGGACACAGCGGATCACTGATCAACGGAAAGAGCCAAAGATGTCAGCTCGGTCATGTGATCAGCTGTGTCCAATCACAGCTGATCGCATGTATATAGGGAAATGCCAGATATCAGCATTTCTCTCCTCACGAGATGTCACGCTGAGGGGACATGTGCCCTGATGATCAGTGTAACCCCAGCAGTGCCACCTGTCAGTGTCCATCAGTGCCAGCTCTCAGTGCTCATCCATGCCACCTGCCAGTGCCACATCAATGCCACATATCAGTGCCTACCAGTGCCACATCAATGCCACATATCAGTGCCCATCTGAGCTGCCTTTCAGTGTTACCCATCAGTGCCAGTCAGTGCCACCTATCAGTGCTTCCAATCAGTGCCACCTATCAGTGCCACCTATCAGTGCCACCTATCAGTGCCACCTATCAGTGCCAGTCACTGCCGCCTATCAGTGTGCATCAGTGACGCCTATCAGTGCCCGTCAGTGCTGACTATCAGTGCAGCCTAACAGTGCCAGTCAGTGCCACCTATTAGTGCTGCCTATCAGTGCCCATGAGTGATGCATGTCAATGCCCATCAATGCCACCTACCAGTGCCTCCTCCTCAGTGCCCATCAGTGCCACCTATCAGTGTCCATCAGTGCAGCCTCATTAGCGCACATCAGCGAAGGAGAAAAATCACTTATTTACAAAATTTTATAACACAAACTAAGAAAAAACTTTTTTTTCAAAATTTTCTGTGGTTTTTGGTTTAAGAAAAAATAAAAAACCCAGAGGTGATTAAATACCACCAAAATAAAGCTCTATCTGTCTCAAAAAAAAGATAAAAATGTCATATGGGTACAGTGTTGCATGACCGCGCAATTGTCATTCAAAGTGTGACAGCGCTGAAAACTGGAAATTGGCGTGGGCAGGAAGGGGGTATAAGTGCCCTGTAGGCTAGTGGTTAAAGAAAAGTATCAAAGGTAGGAAAATATATTAAAGAAATATTTTTAGGTATGTTGTGTGAATACACAACATAACTAAAAATATTTCTTTAATATATTTCCTACCTTTGATACGTTTTTTAAAGTGATTGTAAAGCTTGAAGTTTAAAGTAAACATATTATACTTACCTGCTCTGTGTGATGGTTTTGCACACAGCAGCCCTGATCCTTCTCTTTTTGGGTTCTCCGAAGATGCTCGGGTTCCTCCCCCCCTGATGAGTGCACCTATAGCAAGCCACTTACTATGGGTGCACTTGTACGGGCTATGCTCCATAAGACACACAGACCGTGGTTCAGACCCTGCCCCCCCCCCCCCCCCTCTCCCCCTCCTCACTGAGTGTGATTTGACAGCAGCAGGATCCAATGTCTCCTGCTTCTGTCTCTAAGCCAATGGAGGAGGGGGAGAGCCTCTGCTCTCATGCACATCAGTGGATCAAGATCAGGCTCAGTTAAATATTAGGGAGGCTGGGGGGGAGAGCAGACCGCTGAAGGTTGTTTACCTTAATACATAGATTGAATTAAAGTAAAATAACATTTTAGCTTTACAACCACTTCAAGCAGGCCTTTAGTAGACTACAAGTTCTTCTGAATAATTTCAAAAGGAGTCTGTTCCCAGGAAAAGACTTGAGTTTCCACTTATCAGCATATAGTACAGAAGCCTAGCTTCTGGATATTTAGCCCTCATTCACACCTTAGCGTACTAGCTTTTCTTTGAGCAGTCAAGCATTTTGTACCATAGACCTCAACAGGATCAGCTCTAAACATTTTCATGGTTTTTTGTGTGCATTTTTCAGGCCTAAAGAATTCCTCTTCTCCTATAGAACTGCTCACCTCTCCCTGTTCAGCCAAGGAAACAAATTCCTGAAACTTGATATTTGTGCAAAAACACGGAATATGCGTGAAAAACACGCTTCAAGATCATCAGGAATACGCTCTGCTCAGGTGTGAATGCAGGCTTAAAGTGTCAATAAACCCTCATCATAAAAACCATCAATAAATGTTGTATTACATGCTTTTCATTACTCGCTCATTCACTTTGGGATTCTTTTTCTGTGTTCGGCAAAACACCTGTTTGATCCTGCTGTTCTCTATCTCCCTTCTGTCTATGTCCCCAATGCAGTTGGTGATCTTGCAGAGCAGTGTTGGGGCACAAGCTCAGTTTTCATGCTAAGAATTTCCTCCCTATGACATCTGAGCAGCCCATGTGACTAAACATGTGGGCGTATTCACAGCGGTAAATGACAACCTACTACCTCTTCCTCCTCCCACTTTCCCACTAAGCACACTGGGGGTGGAAAATCTCTTAGATTGAAAGCTCTAACGAACAGGGCCCTCTGTTTCCTCTTGTACAGAAATGTATTGTAACTGTAATGTCTACCTTCATTTTGTAAAGCACTGCACAAACTGTTGGCGCTATATAAATCCTGTATAATAATAATAATATCACATCTTGATTAATGGAGGCTTCACCTCCCTGTTATTCTAAGGCACAGGCTATAGGGGCATTACACTGCCTGTGATTGGAAGAAATCCACCCACACCATGTTATTGCCAAATAATAATAAAGGTTTGATTTCAAATATATATATGTATGAAGATGTAAAACAGTTTATTAATATTATTTGTTTTACTCTGTATTCCAAAGGCTGTTTTTATTTCAAACATGTGACCAGCAGCAGAGGACCAGACACTCCTCCTGCCACTGTTTCCATGCAGACAGCTGTATATCAATTAAGAAAAAGGTACTTTATTTTATAAAAAAAATAGCAGTGCCATCATCGATATACAGAAAGAGAAGGAATAATGTAAGTTAAACAGTGTGTGTTTAGTATCACTTTAACTCTTTGTTAGGACAGACAGTGTTTAAAGTTGGTTTACAATTGATAATGATATATACCAGTGCAGTACAGGCACGGTTAGTTATGGTAAACATTACCTCCCCAGCCCCCTCCTTAAAATTATTTAGCAGAAGAAAAATTCTGTTTTTGAGTTTTCAAAAAAGAGCAAGTATAAGGTAAGCAGCAATTTTAATTTTTTTTTAAGTTATGTTAATGGGAACATGTAACAAATATAAAGTAGGTGTTATAAATATGGCTGCAAAGTGGAAATACCCTTCAGGCCTAGTTCACACCAATGCATTTTTCATTTAACATGGTTTCCTATGGGACATGTTCACATCTATGCTTTTTTTTTAGCAGCTGCGTTTTTGGAAAGGGTCAGGAACCTCTTGAAACGCAAAACATTTGCATTTTTTTGGTTCAATAGACTTCAATGGAGATGCATGTAGTGCATTTTTGACTCGTTTTTGATGCATTTTTAGTCTGCTCAGCAACAAGTTAGCCCCCCAACAAAGCATCAAAATACGTGTCAAAAATGCACGTGAAAAAAACCGCAGAGCAATGCAAAAACGGATGAAAAGCAAACTACATTGGTTTGAACCAGGCCTGTCAGTATACATTCCCTGTGTGGCCACGAGGTGTCAGAGCCATAAATTCTAAGTTGAATTTTTAATGCCTAGACATAGACAACAGGTGCTTCATATATTTATCTGCCATACCCCATCATTCACCTACTTTACAATCGATAATAATAATAGTACAGAAGCTGTAGTGTCTTATCAAGTTTATAATTATATATAATTTATAAATAACTAACCAGTATTATTGCTGCGTTAGGCAGTGAGTGATCCAGCAACAGTTAGTATTTTAAATGGGTTTCTAATTAATTTTCTGTGAACTGCAGCTAGAAGAAATATTCATATTTTCACATTAACCCTTGCTTTCACCTCTAAAATACTAACCCATTTCAAAGGTTCCAAGCTCTTTGATGGCTTTAATGACAATCACACTAAAATAACTGGTGTGACAGAATCACAAGAGGAAAAAAAAAAGAAGCAGATCTGGAACAGGGAAAGAATGATCACTGCAAAACTATGGACAAATATATGCAAATCTTTTACAAACACCCACAAACAAACATTTATACAGCTTTTTTTCAACTAGTGTCCTCGTTTGAATGAGGGAGGAGGAGGGACGGAGAGGGAGAGAGGAAGCAGGAGATGGAGAGGGGACAGCTTAGAGGCTGAATAAATATTCAGAAGGAAGATTATAGGATTCATGTTAGCTGGTCTTAGATTTCTCCAAAGTCCACACAGAATAGAGCTGAACAAAACTAACGAGAGGTAGAGCAGATGTCAAACAATGCTGGGGTCCCATTCACCCCCTCTCGCTTGGATGTGCTTAAGCTTTTTTGTGGCGTGCAGACAATATGTTCAGGTCATTCAAGAGCTCCCCTACACACTGCGCATTGTGGCTGTAGACCTATAAGCTGAACTGCTGACAGCCATCCAAAAGTTCCCCATGAAAAGGCATTATGCAAATTCCAGCTCTCGTCCCCCCCTCCTTTAGGGGGGGTGTAAGGCCCCTCCAGTCTGCTGCTTTGGATGTCCCTGCCTTGATTTCTGTATGGTTGTGGTTTGCCTTAGGGCCATGCTGCTTGTTTTGACAGCGCATCCCCCTAGATAGTTCGGATTAGTGGAGCTTGTTTAGATAAACTTGAAATCAAGGCCTTCTCTAGGTAGACAGCTAGATGTAGCTGCTGAGTTTCCAGCTGCCTGCCTCTTTCATCCCAAAAGGATGGCAGATTCACAGCAGCCATCAATGCCACGGGCTATGTCACATACATAAGTAAGAAATTAAAGGCTGCTACAGAGAAAGCTTGGAAGTTTTAATGCTAAAATAAGGAATCTGTTCTGTACAGTTTATACAAAAAGGGTTTTATGACGATGACCCTTCATAGCCAGCACAATCGAGAGACAGAGCTGAATGGAGATGCAAGGAGTTAAACAGGTCGGAGCCAACAAACGCTCTGTTATATTTATATCAGATTTTCTGGATTGTTTTCAGCTGACATTTTACAAATTTTACTACAATATGTTTTGTTTCTGATTACAAATTAAGACATGCCTGGGTGATACAGTCTCAAAGCGGAAACATTCCTGACTGCTTTTATAACCCTTCAAAAACTCAAAAAGGCCTCATTCACAAGAACGGCACACTTTGCTGCACTGAAAAGCAATCCGTAATGGATGGCATTTCAGATCGTGGATGACAACTTGTTAAAGGAGGCGATGCTGCCACCTCCTGCTTGCTGGTTTTTAGATCCCCAGGGGGATTTTTCTATCCCAATAGGGATTTTACATTGAACTACCACACCAGCAGGGATGAGCTCAGACATATTCGGATACTAATCTGAACCTGCCTGAGCTTTCCCACCAGGAAGCTGTCACTGTCACCAACCATAAGCAGCAGAAGCATTCC